AAGCGGTAGAGTTTACTATGTTTGTTGATGCATCTCATGCTGCTAATGTTGTTACTCGTCAATCAAGAACAGGAGTATTGATCTTTGTTAACAAAGCTCCTATCATCTGGTATTCGAAAAAGCAGAAAAGTGTCAAGACAAGCAGTTTTGGTTCTGAATTTGCTGCTCTAAAGACAGGTGTTGAATTACTTGAGGGACTACAATTCAAGCTCAGAATGATGGGCGTCCCAATCCAAGGTTATTGTCATACTTGTGTTGACAACATGTCCGTTGTCAAGAACTCAAGTGTTCCTGAATCTCAATTGAAAAAGAAATCAAATGCTGTCGCATATCACTACGTTCGCTCCAGATGCGCAATTGATATCCTACAAATTGAATGGATCATTTCCGCTGAGAACTTGGCCGATGTTTTAACCAAGATCCAACCTGGACCTGTTTGTGACCGTCTTATTGAACACATCATGTGGAAAGGAAAGCAAAATGGAAAACTTGCTCTTCTGATTTAAATTTTTGGAATCGTCTTCATCCGTCGCCGGATATTGTCAGTCTTGGACAGTATTGTTTGATACGTCCTCCCAAGAGGGGGTACGGTTGATATTAGCCCAATTCGGAGTGCAAGGTTCTCTGATACATCAGTATCACCTTGAGGGGACCGTTAATTGGACCAGAGAGTGTCCGTCATTTGTACGTATATAGTTTAACCTAGAGGTTTGCACACATCTTGTAAAATCCCCATGTTTGTCATTGTACTCGTTTTTGTCCCGGATCTCTTGTACCTCGCTTCTCAATGTAACGCTTTCATGCAGTGAATCGAAAAGTTAATCCAAGGAAAGCCTTTGTGGATGATCTTTGCAAACAGATCACCAAATGGCGTGATGAAGGATGTGAGGTGGTTTTGGGTATAGATGCAAACGAGGATGTCACTGTTAACACACCCCAGTCTATCCACCACCGCTTCTGGGCCTGTGGTCTTGAGGAGGCGATCCTAAAACACCATCCACCGCAAGTGACCCACCAGCGCAACCAATGGAACATTCCGATTGATGGTATCTTCACCACTTTGGGCGTACCAATCCTTGCGGGTGGGTACTATGCCTTTGACGAATTCTTTGATTGTGATCATTGCGGATTGTGAATTGACATTGATCTTTTCGCCTCCTTGGGCAACTTCCAACCTCAGAAATCCAACTTCACACCACGGAAGTTGTCCCTTCAAGACTCTTGATCTGTATGCAAATATCTTCAATTGGTTCACAAAGGTTATGCCAAGTACTCCATCCCAGAGAGATTGAATAAGCTGAATCAGCGTATTGACCACCTGGGACACCAGATGACCCTTTCCTTGGTGCGCAAATACAACTGTTAACACAGACAAATGTATACAGTGAGGCGCCAGGCGGAAGAGAAGTGCCGGGCCTTAGCTCCAGGTAAAGTTCCCTGGTCACCAAAAATGCAGGGATTCTGGGATCGTATGAGCCTGTGGAAGCTTCTGTTGAAAGGCAAGAAGGGTTGCCGTGTGAGTTCGCGCAAAGTTTGCCGGTTGATGAAGAAGACAGAGCTGCCACAAGCTTGGAGGAAGTCAGCGGTTGATCTGGAGGACTGCCTGAAGCAAGAGCGCTCCTTGTACAAGCAGGCCAAACACACCTACGCAGCTCAATGGAGGAAAGACTTCTTGACAGTCCAAACCAAGGACGCAAAGAAGCATCAGTGGAAGTCTCGGAAGGCCTGTGATAGATTCTTTTGGTTTCGACAAATGAAGCAAAGAGAGGAGGCGAGACGCCGTTGTCGCGCCCAGAGCAAAGGATCTACAGGGGGCCTTCAGGCTATTTCAAATTGAAGAACACTTAGCAGATGGTACTACGAGTCTCCGGACCATCACTGACCGCCGCCTGGTAGAAGATGGGTGCATGCAAGAAAACACGGCACGCTATGATCCCAGAGAGATTGAATAAGCTGAATCAGCGTATTGACCACCTGGGACACCAGATGACCCCTTCCTTGGTGCGCAAATACAACTGTTTACACAGACAAATGTATACAGTGAGGCGCCAGGCGGAAGAGAAGTGCCGGGCCTTAGCTCCAGGTAAAGTTCCCTGGTCACCAAAAATGCAGGGATTCTGGGATTGTATGAGCCTGTGGAAGCTTCTGTTGAAAGGCAAGAAGGGTTGCCGTGTGAGTTCGCGCAAAGTTCGCCGGTTGATGAAGAAGACAGGGTTGCCACAAGCTTGGAGGAAGTCAGCTGTTGATCTGGAGGACTGCCTGAAGCAAGAGCGCTCCTTGTACAAGCAGGCCAAACACACCTACGCAGCTCAATGGAGGAAAGACTTCTTGACAGTCCAAACCAAGGACGCAAAGAAGCATCAGTGGAAGTCTCGGAAGGCCTGTGATAGATTCTTTTGGTTTCGACAAATGAAGCAAAGAGAGGAGGCGAGACGCCGTTGTCGCGCCCAGAGCAAAGGATCTACAGGGGGCCTTCAGGCTATTTCAAATTGAAGAACACTTAGCAGATGGTACTACGAGTCTCCGGACCATCACTGACCGCCGCCTGGTAGAAGATGGGTGCATGCAAGAAAACACGGCACGCTATGATCAAACACGAGCGCTGTATACCACTCCACCTATGGCCGATTCGTTATATAGCGAATCTACCGGTGACAACGCTGAAATAAATTATCTGGCATTGTTAGAAGGCCGTTACACATTACCTGATCTGTTGGACCCAGCTACGGCTTCTTTCTTATCTCACTGCCGGTTTCACAAAGGGCACTCTCCAGTCCACTTGCAAGTCTCCAAGGACGATCATGTGTACTTCTGGTCGCGGAACCCTGAGAATAAAGGATCCAAACCTCATGGACTACATACTGGACACTTTAAGGCGGCTATCCAGTCTCCATCTATAGCGTACTGTGATGCCCTCTTCCGGAACATTCCTCTCACCACAGGGTTTGTTCCTCTTCAATGGCAAAACCTGATGAACCTTGCCATTGAAAAGAAGCCGGTGAAAAGAAGCCGGGAGACTTCCGCCTATCTAAAATGGGCACTATCCAGCTGATGAATTCCGAGGCCCAGGCAAACAATAAGAAGGCGGGCCGTGCAGCCATGCAATTTGCCAAAGCGCACTCCTTGATACCCGACGGGCAATGCGGCTCACGCAAACGTCATCAAGCAATTGACCTGGCCTTGTCTAAACAATTAGTGTGGGATCTACTGATGCTTCAACGCCGCGCAGCGGGGTGGATCTCGAATGATGCCAAGTCCTGCTTTGACCGTGTGGTCCACTGGGTGGCCATTGTCACAATGTTGCGGTTTGGCTTGATATGGCATGTAGGAATGCTCCGCGGCACCGGAATTCGACCTTATGATTCCGAATGTACTCTGGGGGTGATGTTGTCACCACTGGAAAATCACAACGCACAGGAGGCACAGTTGGTCTCTAAAGCTAAAGAGTGGGCCAAACAGCTTTGGCCTCACCTGCTACACAAGTACAACGTGTTACCCTTATTCCGGACCACAATCCTGAAGAAGCATGAATATCCTATGGCACTCACTACCCTCAACGCTCAACAATGGCAGGACAATATGTCACCGGTTCTCCAGGTGTGCTTACCTAATAATAATAACTGAGACATTAATCGTTAGGATGCTACTCTATGGGCATTCAATTGCCGGTGAAATATTTGGCTGTAAAGGTCAAGTACTGTGGAGCGGTGAGTCAACAACAAGTTTGAACCATGGGAGGCGTCTGTACCTAAACAGAAGTTGCTCAAGTCATGTTGTTAAGAATGACTTCTCCCGCAGCGAGGCGG